CTGGCTAATTATTCACACCGCTGTCTCTCCTATCACAGCCATCAGTGGAGCGGCTCATTAGCATAGTTATGCAAGTATCAACACAGGCCTCCCAGCTGGCCGAGGCGTAAGGGCCATCCAGCGGATCACTAATGTAATCAGATAACAAGGAGGTGGGGAGGACAAGAAGAATGTTGCTGTTGATTTGTTGCCAACATGCATTCGGGGAATGTGGCTCGTTCCCTTTGACTTTGCGTTAGCCCGGGGGGCTTTTAATTACAATGACCTCCAAATATGGGATCACTTTTTAATAGGGTTGCACGATATATCGGCCACCATATCGTTATCGGCCCGATAAGAAAATCTGGCCGATATATTACTGTAAAGCTGATAAATTATTTACATGTGCTGCACAAGTCTGATATAAATGACATAAAATTATGAGGACATTATAATCGTGTGTTTGGGACATTATAGAAATTATATAAAAATTCGGATTTAGATTTATCGGCCAATATATCGGTTATCAGCTTTCAAATATAAATTTAGCGGTTATCGGTATCAGACAAAAATGTTCACATCGGTGCATCCCTACTTTTATATAAGCCACCATATCGGTATCGGCTGATATATGTTCATTGATGTTATCGTTATCGACCCAATAAGAAAATCTGGCCGATATATTACTGTAAAGCCGATAAACTATTTACATGTGCTGCACAAGTCTGATATAAATGACATAAAATTATGAGGACATTATAATCGTGTGTTTGGGACATTATAGAAATTATATAAAAATTCGGATTTAGATTTATCGGCCAATATATCGGTTATCGGCTTTCAAATATAAAATTATCGGTTATCGGTATCAGCCAAAATTTTCACATCGGTGCATCCCTACTTTTATATCGGCCACCATATCGGTATCGGCTGATATATGTTCATTTTTAATGTTATCGTTATCGGGCCGATAAGAAAAAATTTGGCCGATATATTAAAGCCGATAAATTATTTCCTCCAGCTTAGACACTTCAGATGCGCACTGTTCGACATGATGGTTATTTGCTTGAAATATGATCGGAAAAGGGGAAAAAACAGTCAAAAATTTGGATTTAGATTTATCGGCCAATATATCGGTTATCGGCTTTCAAATATAAATTTATCGGTTATCAAATCGGCCAATATTTTCATATCGGTGCATCCCTACTTTTTAAAAATATAAAGCTAATCATGTTTACCCATTTATACTATGTGAGAAAAGTAGAGAATGCAACGTCAAATTTGGTCAATGGTATTTATTTATAGATTGTTAATGTTATAGACTAGAGAGACAACTGATGTGTGTAAATATACAGTGGATATAAAGTCTACCAGCCTGTTCTCACATAAATGCGTGCATTGTCTATTATCGTGCAATTTATACGCGAAAATGAGTTTTGACGTGCATGATACGCAGTTTTCGCGTGCATTTGATACGCAGTTCATTTGCGTGTAATACACACACACCCCACACCGCTTAAAACTAATTTTCGCGTATAAATTGCACGATAAACACACTGCGTGCTGTAGAGACGCATTTAGTGTGACCGGGTTGAGACACTTATTACAACAGCTAATTTTTGTGATGTATCTGAACTTTTGCACATTTGATGTCAATGAAAACCAAAGTGACATATTTCAGAGAAAGAAAAAAACTGAAAATATAATTTAATTAATTATTAAAATATTTAGGCCTGGGCATTTACACAGATTTCACAATTCCAAAATACCAGATATGTTTTTCATGATTGTGAAAACGCTTTGATGTCATTCTGAAGTTGCCTCTTGCAGTTTGAACTGTAATACAGTAACACTCATACGGCCTCTTGCACACACACTTGCTTATAATTGTGTATGTGTTGCCCAACACCAGTAACATGAGTGAACTTTGGACAGTATAAACATCAACATCCATATATACTGTATATGACAGGAACTGTGGGTGTTTTCATTGGAGGGAAACTCAATAGTGACTGGTTAAGATGTGTTTTCAAGCCCAGGATTCCTTGCATATTTGAGAGTGATGTGAAATTATTAATGGCTGAGGTCATTCCCAGCATGTTGTGAGCTTGATCCTTCACAGCTCATTGTTTTCCTGTTTTTTTGTACATTTGGACTTTCGAATCTATAAAGATATGTGGAGTCTGTTTGCGATCTCCTGGTCAGCCAAAGCTGTGAGGAGAGAGCTCTTTTGAGGGGACGGTTAGAAGTGGATCTGCAGGGCAACAGAGAAGCTCCAGATAATAGGCTTTAATGGGGCATTCACATTCAGCAGATATAACAAAGACCAGGCAGTGGGATTCGGGAGAGGGGCCGATTGTTACTCCAGAGTGCTTTAATTCTGGCCTTGGAGACACAGGCTGAGGACGACGGTGGGGGAAATCTGCCATTGTTCGGGGGAATGTCAGCAGGGGTTTTTTTTTTTTTTTAGAGAGTCCAGAGGATCAAATTAGAAAAAGTAAGAGATAAACAGACAGAGGGAGAGAGAGAGATGGACAGTGATATAGAGAAGACAGGCAGCATGCCACTCATGTATATAAAGACCTGATCTATCTATCTATCTGTCTGTCTATCTATCTATCTATCTATCTATCTATCTATCTATCATCTATCTATCTATCTATCTGTCTATCTATCTGTCTATCTATCTATCTATCTATCTATCTATCTATCTATCTATCTATCTATCTATCTATCTGTCTGTCTGTCTGTCTGTCTGTCTGTCTGTCTGTCTGTCTATCTATCTATCTATCTATATATGTCTGTCTGTCTGTCTGTCTAATACATTTGGTCTGTGTTCGTTGTGAAAATGTTATGTTACTTTAGTTTGACCGGTTTTAGTAGTGAGGTACAGCAATTGAGTACAAGACAGTGAATATGTATGTTTCACATTTTTACTGCATGTTCTTTGCAATTCTAATTTGTTCAGAGCATTGTGCCAAAGAAAAAATACACCCTTATTTACAACAAACATAAACTCCCTTTGGGTAGATCGGTGCACAACTGTAAACAATATCACAGTACATATCGGAACTGAACATACTGTAAATCATTCATGCACATCTCTTCTCATCAGTGAAAGCTGAGGTTCACCTGCGAGAAATTGTTCAATTTAGGATAAAAAAAGGTTTTTTTTTAAAAGATAAATTTTAAAAAAAAGTAATATTTGCTTGATGAATTTTGACAACATTTTTGTATGTGATGACTCAAGCAATGAAATGAGGACTATTAGTTTTATATGGAATGACTATTATTCAGCATTCACAAGTATAGTTAATTTGGACTGACATGACATAAGCAAATGGTAATGTTATAAAACGGCAGCAATTGATGCATGTCCAAAAGCATATGCAATTTGTTTGAAGGAATGAGAAACTGCTACTATGATGTGAACTAACTGTTGTGCAAATGTTAAGTGATGTGAGAAATGCACCAAAGCGACTGAGAAAAACTGGAAAGGGATAGCCTACTCCATCCAAAAATGAAAATTCTTTCATCATTTACTCGCCCTGTTCAAACCAGTATGAGTTTCTTTCTTCTGCTATGTTTTGAAGAACGATTGGAACTTTGGCACCATTGACTTCCATAGAAACAATACTAGAAAAGTCAATGGTGCCAAAGTTCCAATTGTCCTTCAAAGAGTTTGCAACAACTAAAGGGCGAGTAAATGCTGACAGAATTTTCATTTTTGGGTGGAGTAATCGCCCTTTAAAGCGATTTTACTGTAATTGTATGAAAAGTTATTTATTCATGATGAGTAGCCTAATGTTTAGGCTTTGATCAACATAATGCGTTTGTTTGATCATCTTTCTTAGTTATAGCCTACACATGAAATGTGTGTGCGCGTGAGTGCGTGCATGCGTGCGCGTGCGTGTGCGTGTGATGAGAAGTGACGTAACTCCTCCGGACTTGACCGCGGGGCTCCGCTGATGAATGGGAGAAACGGGATCATTTCAAACCAAGTCCCCTCGGATCCTCCTCCTCGTATAAGCGCTTTAAGCCTCGGGCTTTAGTTCATTATAACACCTGCATGCTCGCGGACACTTGACCATGATCAATTCTAGTAAAGTTTTCACATTAACCGCATGCCCGATTTAATAGGCTATGCGCTAAGATGCTTAGCAACGAGGACAGGAAACAGTGATTAGCCTACTTTCCATAATAAAGTGTTATTTTGAACAAACGCAGATGACCAGTCGCAAATACGCTGATCCAGGAATTAAAAGAAGAAGAAAGAAGAAAAGACATTCCTGGCATCACCAACTAATAAATCAATTACCCGTGCATTGTCAATCTGAAAGGATTGGTGGCGGGAAAGATAACACAATAATGTAATTAAGGAAAGGTGTCATTTACAGTTGTTGAATACAGAGCTCAAAGGAACCGCCTAATTTGTTTTTCTTGCTTATTTACAATGCAATAAATCTAGGTGTAATTTAGAGTTATTTAGTCAGTCTATTTACCATAAGTGTGGGATTGTTTACTTTTTACATATCAGATCAGAAGTTATTTAAAATTCTTACAAAAATAAGACCTTAATCGTAGGTTATCTAGCTATTCTGTGATATTTAAGTCATATTATTTATTGCGTTTAAAGTAAAATATTTAGGTGGTGTAATTGCCCAGAGATTGTAAAAAACAGTGTCGTTGTTTTAAAATATTATTGAATTGGGGTTTTTCATCTGTCTATCTATCTATCTATCTATCTATCTATCTATCTATCTATCTATCTATCTATCTATCTATCTATCTATCTATCTATCTATCTATCTATCTATCTATCTATCTATCTATCTATCTATCTATCTATCTAATATAAATACCCTAGCTATATTGGGGTCTGCCTCTGGGGATTTGTTTTTGTGGGTGGGGGATTTAACACCCCTTCCCCCCCTCTCTCTCTCCCTCCCTCTCTCTCTCCCTCTCTCTCTCTCTCCCTCTGGTTTTAGTCCATTGTTGTGAACCTTCCCCTCAGTGCTGTTGTCTCCCACTGCCAGTCAGACGCTTGCTCTGCCTCAGAGAGTTGTCAGATAGGGACTCTTCGGGCTCTTCAGTTTTAAACTCACCTAAGCTGTGTGTGTGGAGCAAATCATTCAGCAGGAACCCAAGCAAGAGCGAGAGAGCGCGCAAAACCTCACTCCACTGTCAGTGCGCGCACATCACATTATTCATGTGAAATAAGACAGAGGGACGCTATTGGATGCTTTCATTCACACAACCTAAGACTGGATTTTTAGTTTTTTACATTTTGAGAAGACAAATAGACACTATCTAAATCCTCCGCGTCGTTGGTGTCTGTGGATTTATAGCGGGTTTGGAGTCGCGCTCACGAGCAGAGCGCGAGACACGGAGACGCTCATCAAAGGAAAGCAGCGCTGGACTTTGAATCCGAAGAGTATAGGCTACTCTTACCCTTGCACATATCTGTCTGTTGGTTTGATTTTTTAAATGGATTTACCAGCTTAACTCAGACTTTCCCAAAAGTTGCTTATTGGATTTCCAAGGATAAAGTATTGTGAATCTGTAAGGGGGGGGAAAGGACACATGAGTATCTCGAGGGCCACCGCGATCCAAGGGCACTGAGTACTGCCTTATCGAACCCATAGGGACCGGGCAAAGTGCACACGAAAATAGGTAAAATGTTTTATTTTATTTATTTATTTATTTATTTATTTTTGTGAGTGCATGGTTAAATTTAGGATCAAATTCGTTGCATGAATATTAGCCAATTTATTTATATATCAATTGGTAGCCTGTTTATTAAGTAGGCCTAATTAGTTGCTTCAACTGAAAATTTAGTCTAGTTAGATTGTAAATTAAATAGTACTGTTTAGTTTAAACTTCGCTTATTTCCGCGCAGTTGGGGAATTTCGTTAAAACGCAATGCTCGCTTTGAATCGTAAATGAAACTTTTTATTGATTACATTAAATTCCAGTTTTCTGACTCTGGTTTGTTTTAGGTTTACTTGCGCGCTCAGAATGACTTTCATTAACTCTTCCCAGTGGTTTCACACTTGTAAACGGATTTATTTACCTTAACCAAACTCTCACTCTGGTGTGAAATTCTCGTGTGTTTTGAGAACACATGTGTCTCCTCGGACCCTCGTGATATGACGTTTGCTCTTGTTTATCTCTCATGCTGAGAGTATTTTAAATAGGTATTTTAGAAGCACGTTAATAAGTGTAAAAATCTTCAACATTGTTTTTGTTTAAAAATACCTTTTTAAAAGTTTAGAGTTTGGACAATTAGTTGTTGCAATCGTCGTGTTTTTATTGAAACGACCCATCAAAAGCACGCTGTACAGGTTCTATTCATATACAACTGTCGTTAACTGCTGCACATTCGTACCTGAGGGTTATTCATGTACAAGAGGATGTAGACAATGTCTAGCAACGATGTAGGTGTACAATAGGACATTCATTTTCAAATTTGGTTTAGTGGGCAGGGTTGGGATGTGCAATGCATTATGCAATTAATGTCATTTTAAAGGTTCATCTTTCACAATAGCTTCTGTGAATTGTAAATCAGTTCTGTTTTCTCTCAGGTTTGAGGTTGCCAATGCCTGGAGTCAGCATTTGAAGCTGACCAGCTGTCTTCCACACACACACACACAAACATAACCTCAGCAAGATGTTGAGCATCTTTAAGGTTTTCATTACCATCTGCTTCACGGAACTGGCGTTTTCAAGAAGCGTAACATCTAGGGAAGTCCGGACAAAAGGTATGGATTGCAATTACACTTTCATTTGAAATCACCCAAATCTAACTTTTCCAATGTCAATGTTACTTAAAGGAGTAGTTCACTTTTAATAAAAAACTTTTGCTGATAATTTACTCACCCCCGTGTCATCCAAGATGTCCATGTCGAAAAAAGAAATTAAGGTTTTTGATGAAAACATTTCAGGATTTTTCTCCATATAATGGACTTCAATGGGAACCAAACGGTTCAAGGTCCAAATGAGAGTTTCAGTGCAAACTGTTCGAAGGGCTTTAAACGATTCCAGACGATGAATAAATCTTTGTGTAAATAAATCAAAATGAACAAATCTTTTCCCAAAGTCAACTCGTTCATTTCGTTCATTGAATGAATCAAATGACACGAAAAAAGATTGGTTCATTTTGATGAACGAGTTCGAACAGGAGAGTCACGAACGCGCATCACAAAACCGCAAGGCGAGCATTTGAGCTTATAAAACTTAAACTTTGTTATTTATTTATTAAATGAGCGATCGTTTCGCTTGATAAGACCCTTATTCATCATCTGGAATCGTTTAAAGCCCTTTGAACAGTTTGCACTGAAACTCTCATTTGGACCTTGAACCGTTTGGTCCCCATTGAAGTCCATTATATGGAGAAAATCCTGGAATATTTTCATCAAAAACCTTCATTTCTTTTCGACTAAGGAAAGAAAGACATGGTCATCTTGGATGACACGGGGGTGAGTAAATTATCAGTAAAAGTTGTTTTAAAAGTGAACTACTTCTTCACAGTAATATTTCGAATTTTACTTAAAACGGTTTGAATATCAAATGAATATTCAACATATGGTAAGAAGGGCCGAGCTGATTGTGAAGAATTTAAGTCCAGGGGAAGTTGGAGAGGATGTAATCGTTTAGAGAGTAAAAGAATCCCAGTATTTTCTTGAGCCATAAACAGTGCTACCTGATCCTTCCAAAGCCCCGAGGCTCGGAAGTGTAAATCTGTCTGGCCCGGTGCCAGTAACAGGGGCTTGTGGGATGTGTGTGTGTGTTTGGGGGTCTATTTAATTGTACAAACACTGGGTTGTCTCGATTTTGTACCTGCCAGGGAGGTATCCGATTATCTCCAAGAGCTACTAAGATTCACACAGAGTTTTTTTTGTGTGTGAAAAAGCCTCATGTATACAAATCAGAGGATTTTTTTTGTAAATCACGGGATTACCTAAAAGCTGCATGTGGCATTTTCTGTTTGCCTGTTCACATGCTCACCATTCTGGGGTCTAGAGAATGAAGGGATAAGATGTAGACCCATGTCAAAGTCTTCGTTAAAAGCGTCTTTCTTTGAACACTTGTGAGCTACATAGAGTGCCATGAAGGTGATAAAGGTTGAAAATCCCTGTGGTGCAGCCCAACAATGCCCCACTAAGTTCCTGCCAGGAGAAATTAAAGTCATTTGACAACTGTAAGACTTTAATGCACCGAGCCACCCATGCAAGGGAGACGTGCAAAGCTAGACGAATGAGAAGAGGCAGAAATGAACTTGTTGAAGAGGAACTAAAAACACAAGCATTTGATTTATGTACAAGTTGATAAACATTATGATAAAACCTAAAAATGTGGACGGCATGCGTCCTTGAGACTGAGAGGCATATTTTTCATGTAAAGTTTGCCCGTTGAGCCACTCAGGCTATTTTTGGTGGCCGCATGTGTTTGTGTGTTTTGTTTAGCTTGTCCTTTATTCACACCCTCTTCAGGGTCAGATACAGGCCAGGCCCTAGTATTATTCAGTGAAGTTCATTAGTGTGTTGGTGGAAGAATGTTATGCTTCAGTGCTGGAGGTGACATTGCTTGGTACTCAAAATCACATTCACCTCCGGGCCACAAGAAACACTGCTGTGAAGTCAAAGTTAGGTCATTCTCAGCTGAGAATTGTCTTTCTGTTCCCTCTTTTGTTTGTGGCTTTGTTTGCCTGATGGTGATCTCTGTGAGAAAGGCTCTGGTTAGCAATTAGTGAGAAGTTATGTTAATTACCAGTAGCTGTTTTCTCCATTCCACCAGTTTCTCGACCAACTCTTATTCCTGGTTTTCCTGAGAATGCCACTGTGTTAGTTGGAGGACACGTGAAACTGGTGTGTAAACTCCAGCAGCCAGCCTCAACACGTCTCCAGTGGTTCAAGAAGGACAGCAATCGCCAGGGGCCTGATGGATCGCCGTTTTTTACAGCGCTTACGGTGAGAACGTGATTTGAAGATCCTCCATTGTGCATATTTTCTGTCTTAAAGAAAGAGGGAGTAATGTTACGTGTGTTTCCCCCCGCAGCCTCTTCTTGAGAACGTCTCCAAAGTCAACATTCTTCCTTTAGTGAATGTCTCCGTGAAAGATGCTGGAGAGTACGTATGCAAGGCGGAAAACTCAGTCGGTCAAACAACGCGCTCTGCCTGGCTGGAAGTCTTACCAGGTACGTCTTATCTTCTCATCTTCAGGGCTGACCTGCCATCATTCTCTTTTATTGCTGTGAAAACCATATTACGAGTATTTAGTAGGACAAAGGTCACAGCTAAGGTCCCAGCAAACAAATTTAGGTTCAGGGAACGTTCCCGGAACGTTCTCCTTACGTTATAAAAATGGAACCTAAAAATAGTTTGATGGTCCTCATGGGACCATTCGGGAACGTTGTGTGTTTGCTGGGGTGTAAGCTTCATTCAAGTGTGATAGTGGTTCCATTAGCAACTTTGTCTTGTCCAAAAAGTTTCAGAGGAGCCAACTGAGGAACCATCAGAGCATCTCCTTCTAGAGCTTGGAGATGCACTAAAGCTCCGCTGCGACACGAACCGTCCTGGAGCGGTCCAGTGGTTCAAGGGTGGCGTGCGGGTCCAACACAACGCTCGTATCCAGATACGGGCAGCCGTCATGGAGATTGCGGATGCCACCTATGAAGATTCAGGAGTGTATGTGTGTGTGCTGCGGGACACCAAAGAGGCTCTACGCAACTTCACTATCACAGTGGCAGGTTAGAAGATTAATAGTCTAAATAACAACCCTTTCTTTTGAATGTTCATCTAATAACATGGCGCAGTGGATCAGACACATGCCTTTGGTGTGAGAGACCCACTGTGAGACACCAATGTGTCCCTGAGCAAGACACTTAAAGGGTTAGTTCACCCAAAAATGCAAATTCTGTCAGTATTTAATTTACTCACCCTCATGTTGTTCCAACCCCGTAAGACCTTCGTTCATCTTCGCAACACAAATTAAGATATTTAAGATATTAAGATCGCTCCTGCATACTAGTCCATAGGCTTGTTGACTCGAAAAGTCATTAAAGACATCGTTAAAATAGTCCAAGTGACTACAGGGGCTCAATCTTAACTTTATCAAACGACGAGAACACTTTTGTGCGCAAAAAACAACAAAAATAAGGACTTTATTTCAACTTGATCCTTCTCCATGGGCCTGTAGTGAGTTAACGTAGTGTGATTGCGTAAAGCTACGTCACACGTAGGCTCACTATTGGCCGACGCTGGTCATGTGTGTGATGCGTGTGACGTACAATAACAGAAGCTTACGCTATTAAACTAGTAACCTGACTCGCGCAGAGGGAGAAATAAACGAATAGTTGAAATAAAGTCCTTATTTTTGTGCGCAAAAAGTGTTCTCGTCGTTTGATAAAGTTAAGATTGAGCCCCTGTAGTCACTTGGACTATTTTAACGATGTCTTTAATGACTTTTCGAGTCAAGAAGCCTATGGACTAGTATGCAGGAGCGATCTTAATATCTTAAATATCTTAATTTGTGTCCCGAAGATGAACAAAAGTCTTACGGGGTTGGAACAACATGAGTAGGGTTGGGTATCGAGAATCGAGTATCGATTGGAACCGGGACTAACTTTTCGTTTTTCCCGGAATCGTTCAAAAGTTAAAATTTCGATTCCTAGTTTCGATATTCACAGTCCGCCGAGCGGAAGAGGAAACCGCTGAACAACACCAACGAAGAAGCGTCTACCGGAAGTGTTCATAACCGCGCGAGTCGAACATGAGTAGCTTACGTCGGCGGTCCAAAGTGTGGCTTCACTTTTCTAAAAATTAACGAAATCTCGGCAAAATGCAAAATTTGTGACAAGTATTTGTGACAGAAGGAGTATTTCCTTCCGAAAGGCCGTTGGTTAGCAAGGTTAGCTAAACTTTTTTGACCCTGCCTCTTAAAAGAATCGGAATCGAGAATCGTTAGAAACCGGAATCGAAACAAGGAATCGGAATCAGAATCGTTCAAATTCAAACGATACCCAACCCTAAACATGAGGGTGAGTAAATACTGACAGAATTTTCATTTTTGGGTGAACTAACCCTTTAACCCCTAGTTGCTCCAGAGGCGACGGCATGCGCCCTCTGACATATATAGCAATCGTAAGTCGCTTTGGATAAATGTAAACCCTTAATGCTCCTTTGCAGATGCTGTAGGATCAGGAGATGATGATGAGGACAATGGTATTGAAGACTCTAGTCCTGAGATTGAAAATGACCAGGTCTACATCTCCAGAGGTTAGTGTTTATTGTAACTACACGTTTACTTGCGTTTCAGCTTGAAATGAACCATTGTTTCGTACGTTTTAGCACCATACTGGACTCTTACTCAAAGGATGGAGAAGAAGCTCTACGCCGTCCCAGCTGGAAACACCGTCAAATTTCGCTGCCCCGCCACAGGGAACCCTCTTCCCACCATTCGCTGGCTAAAGAATGGCAGGGAATTCAGAGGAGAGCACCGGATCGGAGGCATCAAGGTGAGAGATTGATATTTTGAACTTGATCTTAATCTTAATCGGCCTCATGCTGACACGTCATCGTTTTGTGTTCATAGCTTCGACATCAACACTGGAGCCTGGTCATGGAGAGTGTGGTCCCCTCGGACCGTGGGAACTACAGTTGTGTGGTGGAGAACAAATATGGCTCCATTGCTCACACCTACCTCTTGGACGTGTTGGGTAAGAGGGCTCTAGACAGTCGCCATCGCAAGTCTGCCATGCTTAGCAAGTGTCAGAAGCAATAAGCATCAAATCAGTGAGATCCTGGACCAGTGGCGTCACATAGCGAGACAGGCACCAAACGCAGCCACAGGGCACACTGCCGCACCACAGGCACCGGGGTTCACCCGAGGCTCTACGTGTCCATACAGATATTTAAGAAGTACACTGGAAAAGGGCAATAAATATCATCACGGCTGGGGGGTTGGCATGGGTCCGTGGTACGTGCCTGGAAGCACTGTGGGTTGAGGCGTCCAGACCGATTTTCTACCTGACCTGTGACAGACCTGTTTGTTAAGATTCCGGCGTGGGGTCAACAGCAGACAGGGGGGAAAGAACAGAAGCCCATCGACTTCAAAGCGACACAATACATGGGCCTGGTTTTGAAAATCCCTTGATGGAACTAATTAGTGAGCGTTGATTAGCATTGGAAGTGCCGCTCGTCTATCCCTGTGCCTTATACAAATTCTTTTGGAAGTTACAGGATCGCTTTTGAAAAAACTTTTGCTGATAATTTACTCGCCCCCGTGTCATCCAAGATGTCCATGTCTTTCTTTCCTCAGTAGGTTTTTGATGAAAACATTCCAGGATTTTCTCCATATAATAGACTTCAATGGGGTCCAAAAGACAGTTTCAGTGCAAACTGTTTAAAGGGCTTTAAACGACTCCAGACGATGAATGAGGGTCTTATCAAGCGAAACGATCGCTTATTCCAAAAGCGTAACTTTTCTAAGGACAAATGCTAGCCTTGCTCTATTCTGTGAGGCGCGTTTGTAACGTCACGTAATACGTAATTACGTTCAAAAGCTCACGGGCGACGTAGCCGGAAGTACAGAATCAAAATCGTCCGACATCGTTGTTTTACCTTTTAATTACTTTTTTTGTAAACGGCGTTTGAGTTAGTTTTCACGTTCAACCTATGCGTTCAACTTGTAAACACTCTGTCTCTGTAGTTCCGGCTACGTCGCCCGTGACCTTTTGAACGTAATTACGTATTACGTGACGTTACAAACGCGCCTCACAGAATAGAGCAAGGCTAGCATTTGTCCTTAGAAAAGTTACGCTTTTGGAATAAGCGATCGTTTCGCTTGATAAGACCCTCATTCATCGTCTGGTGTCGTTTAAAGCCCTTTGAACAGTTTGCACTGAAACTGTCTTTTGGACCTTGAACCGTTTGGACCCCATTGAAGTCCATTATATGGAGAAAAATCCTGGAATGTTTTCATCAAAAACCTTCATTTCTTTTCAACTGAAGAAGGAAAGACATAGACATCTTGGATGACACGGGGGCGAGTAAATTATCAGCAGAAGTGAACTTTCATTGATAGCATAATGAGAATTTTGATAGAGTACTGAACTTTCAGATTTCTTCTTTCAGAACGCTCTCCACACAGACCCATCCTCCAAGCTGGTCTACCCAAGAACATCACCGCTGTAGTGGGTGGAGATGCCCAGTTCCTGTGTAAAGTCTACAGTGATGCCCAGCCTCACATCCAGTGGCTAAAGCACATAGAGATGAACGGCAGCCGTTACGGGCCTGATGGCATTCCTTATGTGAAGATCGTGAAGGTATTTAGCGAGTCAGTCGTTACACTTGACTTTTCACGTCACCATATCGGTATTGAATTAACGAGCATTTCGTGTCTTCCACCTTCTCAGACCGGAAGCTTGAACATGTCTGAAGTGGAAGTCTTATATCTGACCAATATTACAATGGAGGATGCTGGGGAATACACCTGCTTGGCGGGAAACTCTATTGGATTCTCTCATCAGTCTGCTTGGCTCACAGTCTTATTAGGTAGAGTTGTTTGTGTAGACGCATTGACGACGCAAATCATGAATATTGCTCGAGGTACAAGTAAACTTATCAATTCCACAGAGGAGGACGTGGCCAAGGAGATTGACCTCACGGAGTCCAAGTACACCGACATCATCATCTATGCATCTGGCTTCCTGGCACTGGTGATGGCCATCGTTATCGTGGTCCTCTGCCGCATGCAGGTTCATCCCAGTCGGGAGCCTTTCGATACGCTCCCAGTGCAGAAACTCTCCAAGTTTCCTCTTCGCAGACAGGTAAAACCACACTTCTGAACTATAATTCCCCAAGAACGTGGTCTTCAGGTTTCTAATCGTGTATGTTTTGGACCCTATTTCAGTATTCTGTGGAGTCCAATTCTTCTGGAAAGTCAAGTGCGTCACTGATGAGAGTGGCTCGTCTGTCCTCCAGTTGTTCCCCGATGCTAGCTGGGGTTATGGAGTTTGAACTGCCGTATGACCCTGACTGGGAGTTTCCAAGAGAGAAGTGAGTAGCAACCATAAATGTAAAAGATGTTTCGGTAACACTTTACAATAAGGGTGCTCTAATGCACAGATAATACTGAATTAATGTGTAAATAATGATTATCTAAGCTATTCATTAATGATTACCACATTAGGAACTAATTAAGAGTCTGTAAGGTTAATTTATTAGTTGTTATTAATTAAATATGAAGAGTTCAGATGCAAAAGCCTCTAAGTGCCATTTGAAATGTTCTTCTAGAATGGTCATTTTTATCAAGCTTGTATATTTAAGTTCAGAAGTTTCACATAAATGGCAATTAATAGGTAATCATCATTGCCATTCAAGTGAAATTACTGAACTTAAATATACAAGCTTGATAAAAATGATCATTTTAGAAGAAAATTTCAAATGGCACTTAGAGGCTTTTGCATCTGAACTCTTCATATGTAATTGTGGATTAATTCCATAATAACTCATTTTTTTCACTAATAGCGTTAATTAATATGTTAATTACCAGAATGAGCTAAAGCCTTGTATTTCAACTTCCAGATAATATGACAGGTACACTAATATTCATTAATACATGATTAATTACTTCATTGTTAGTGCAAATTCATGTGAATGACTTGTTAATAATGATGTGCCCCCGCAAGTAAAGTCATAACATAATGATACCTTTGCCAATCATTGCATAGCTTTGACTAATTGTGGTAATTAACACATTAATTTACACTATTAGTTAATAAAAATATGTTATCAAGGAATAAATACACAATGACACATTGAATTAATAGCAATTCTTAAACATATAGACTCTTTATTAGTTGCTGATACAGTAATCATTAATTAATAGTTTAGTTCTTCATTAGTTATACATTAACTCATGATTATCTGTGCATTAGTTAAGCATGAATTCATGCATATTGGTGTTTCTTTATTATGATGATGGTGAACTGACTGTTTATTTGTGCTAGTTTGACGTTAGGGAAACCGCTTGGAGAGGGCTGTTTTGGTCAAGTGGTGAGAGCCGAGGCTTATGGGATAAACAGAGAAAATCAAGATCAAATGGCAACTGTAGCAGTTAAAATGCTGAAAGGTATGTTTGCACTTATATATACACATCATATTCAAATGTTCAGCATTTGCATATTCAACTAAGATGGATTTTTCATGTCGTTTTAGATGACGCAACTGACAAAGACCTGGCAGACCTCATCTCTGAGATGGAGCTCATGAAGGTGATGGACAAGCACAAGAACATCATAAATCTTCTTGGTGTTTGCACACAGGACGGTAAGTTAGAGCTAACGTTTGAAGAACTAACTTCACATGGACATTTCAATTGATTTCAGTTCATATTTCTGGATCAGGTCCACTTTACGTGCTGGTCGAATATGCGTCTAAGGGTAGCCTACGGGAATACCTCAGAGCTCGTCGACCTCCAGGCATGGACTACACCTTCGACGTGACCAAGGTTCCTGAGGAGCAGCTCACCTTCAAAGATCTGGTCTCCTGCGCCTACCAAGTGGCAAGAGGCATGGAGTACCTGGCCTCCAAAAGAGTGAGTCCCCCGCCCCGCCGCATCTTATCAACACGTCTCTTTGTCCGACACGTGATGCCGAGCATTCCTCGGTGGAGTGGTGGTGTGTCGTGTTTACCGCTGTGTCCATCCTGTCTCTGTGGGCTTTGTCCTTTTTAGCACTGCCATAAATCTGTTAGCAAGCAGGCCCTCGGACCCGCCTGTGCACTGGATCGGATTACTAGCTTTTTGTGGCCTGCTAAGAATGCAGTCGTCTGAAACCCCTCCATTAAGGGCCACAAACCAGGGGCCTCTTTTTCAATCCTCAAATACCACTTCTATTTCAAATGAAAACCAAAATAAACTTAATGACATGCATTTACATAAGAAAGTCCAAGTCTATTTAAAGTGCGGCTTGTCTAAACTTTTGCTTGCTATATGTTGATTTATACGGGAGACCTCATATAGAAAGTGGCTTTAATTTTTTGTTTCATCTGGTTTGCGGGAACAAAGCCTCAATGTGAACATGTTTATCTACTCGAGTGAGTCTGCGAAACATTGTTTGTGCCGTTTGAACTAAATAGAAATCTCTTTTTTTTTGGCATTCAGTGCATTCACAGAGATTTAGCAGCAAGGAATGTTCTCGTGACCGAGGACAATGTGATGAAAATCGCTGATTTTGGTTTGGCGAGAGGAGTGCATCAAATCGACTACTACAAAAAAACCACTAATGTAAGTTACAATTCTATTCAAGTTTGAAGACATACCATTTGTAAGCTGGACTTCATGGCCCTGTTTGATGCCTTAAAGGAGTAGTTCAAGATGTCCATGTCTTTCTTTATTCAGTCGAAACGAAATTAAGGTTTTTGATGAAAACATTCCAGGATTTTTCTCCATATAATGGACTTCAATGGGGTCCAAAAGACGGTTTCAGTGCAAACTGTTCAAAGGGCTTTAAACGATTCCAGACGATGAATAAGGGTCTTATCAAGCGAAACGATCGCTCATTTAATAAATAAATAACAAAGTTTAAGTTTTATAAGCTCAAATGCTCGCCTTGCTCTGTTCTGTGATGCGCGTTCGTGACTCTCCTGTTCATCAAAATGAATGAATCTTTTTTTCGTGTTATTTGGTTCATTCAACGAACGAAATGAACGAGTTGACTTGGGACAAGATTCGTTCATTTAAACATTAACTCGAAAGAAACTCCTGTTCGCACTCGTTCATCAAAATGAACGAATCTTTTTTCGAGTAATTTCGTTCATATACATCAAAATGAACGAAATGCATTTCAGCTTATAAAACTTAAACTTTGTTGGGTTTTTTAAAATTAAATGAGCGATCGTTTCGCTTGATAAGACCCTTATTCATCGTCTGGAGTCGTTTAAAGCCCTTTGAACAGTTTGTAGTTTGCAATGAAAGTGTCATTTGGACCATGAACCGTTTGGTCCCCATTGAAGTCCATTATATGGAGAAAAATCCTGGAATGTTTTCATCAAAAATCTTAATTTCTTTTCGACTGAAGAAAGAAAGACATGGACATCTTGGATGACACGGGGGCGAGTAAATTATCAGCAAAAGTTTCTTGAAAAGTGAACTACGCCTTTAATGCTTTGAAAGACAGATGTGTAATGTGTCCATACTGATTGGCAGAAAGCTTAATTGGAGATAATTGGGGAGAGGGGGGCGGGGATTAGCGGGAGGTGGAGTGCTTTGGCTCGGCCTGTGTGGCAGATAACTGTCCCACTCACAGCCCTGTTGTTTCCAATTTCAGGGACGTCTGCCAGTGAAATGGATGGCACCAGAAGCCTTGTTTGACAGAGTCTACACACACCAGAGCGATGTGTAAGTCTGGCTAATCATTACAGCTATGCCAAAGAGCCCGCTCAGATTAACCAGAATGCACCAGTGTAGTTTAATCCTGATTAGATGGTGGACGTTTTTAATGACTAAAATATGCTCTGGGCTCAAGCTGATTATCCTACATGGTTGCTTCCGCAGCTGGTCCTTTGGAGTCTTGATGTGGGAGATTTTCACCCTGGGGGGATCGCCGTACCCTGGGATACCGGTGGAGGAGCTGTTCAAGCTGCTGAAGGAAGGTCATCGAATGGACAAACCGTCCAACTGCACCCATGAACTGTAAGCATCAGTCTGACTCTGCTCACCAAAAATATGTCATTTATCACTGTGATTTACTGACGTTCGCATGGCTTTTATAGCTACATGAAGATGAGAGAGTGCTGGCATGCGGTTCCAACACAAAGACCGACATTCAAACAGCTCGTGGAAGAGCTCGATAGGGTCCTGGTGTCCATTTCAGACGAGGTAAACACAAGTTTGAGTCCATCGAGATGTTGTTTTTCAGTCAAAAACCTCTAAACCATTCATATTTTTACTTTTGTTTCAGTACCTGGACCTATCCACCCCGTTCGAACAGTACTCCCCATCTTGCGAGGACACCTCCAGCTCTTGCTCTTCAGACAATGATTCAGTGTTTACCCATGATGCTTTGTCGACTGTCCCATGCCTCCTCGGCTACCACGATGTGCGCTCTCGGATGGACCTGAAGACGACGATGCGATAAAGTGGGACGAGGATTTCCACCTCTGTTGTTATGCCTAAGAACATTATAACGATGCTTGGCACTATGAACTACTCATTTTCACTCTCATATCATCAGTTTTTATTGAACGGGTGCTGCTAGATGTAGGACGCCATGTTGGAGCGGCACACGGGAGCATTTTCAAACCCGATTTTTTTTTTTTTTTATTAAAAAGAGAACATTTATTTTGATATTAAAAGCGAATAGCGTTGATAAATATAAATCTCTCTCTATATAAAATTATTTTACATTTTTTTATTTAAAAAAAAACAAACAACTGTCTTAAATCTCAGGATCTTGCATGTTGTAGTGGCGGCAAAGTGCCTGAATTTCCTGTGAATATCTTAAAATATTTTATGTACATATCACAATTACATTTTATAAATTATTCTAAATGATATAAAGTGAAGGTGAAGAAATTATGTAAATCTATTCTGAAGCGATCCCTGACACATTTACAATAGCTATTGTTCGCTGCTCGTACCATTGTACACTGTCAAGGCTAAACCTCTGAGCACTCGACTTCCTGTTGTTCTGTTCATTTCATGCCTCGCCGTTTGGTTTGTCGTGGTCAGCGACGCTTCAATCGCCAGTACTGTACGGAAGAAAAGGACTCGACTGAATGTGAAATGCCTTGATATTGATTGATTTCAAATGGTGAATCCTCCATTGTTTGGCTGCAACCTTCCAACCACCCCGGCTTGTTTTGCGGGATAGGCCGAGGTGGACAATGGTCTCATGCGGCTGTAATGTGTGTGTGTGTGTGTGTGTGTGTGTGTGACTGCTGGCTAGGGTGATTGGGGGGCTGTGTGCAAATGAGAAAGCCCCTTATTATGCTAATGGCTCCAGCTGCCCATCTTTATCCTGCACTATCTTTTAATATACAAATGCTAATGCTGGCCTTTCTAAACAAACTCTGCAATGTCCTTCAGGGAATGCAAAGCCTCATCCCACAAGCTGATAAGAAGCCAATGGCTTTTCTCAAGTTAATTTACCCAGTGTACTTTGCATTCTCAGCCAGGGACGCACGGCTCCCTTTGGGCCGTATTTCTGGGACAATTGGTGGTCCGTTTCCCCAATGAGAGCAACTTTGATAACTTCGTTTCAGGCAGCTACAGGGATGTTTGACCTCTAAATGAGAAAGAAACTCTTAAGCAGTCCCATGACACCTCCAAAAAATTGATAAAACACGTGACATTCCATTTGTGTATTCCCCTTTGTAACAATCGATGCTATTATAAATTTCCCCTCTAAAGAATTATTTTAGAAATATTTAATTTATTTGTTTATTGTTTGTTTTATATTAAATAAAGTATAATTTAAAAACACTGAGACATTTTTGTATCTTGTTTCTGTGAATGCGTGAGTGTTTGAAGAATCTCGCTGGGTTGTTTCAACCCAAATTTGGGTCAAATATCGACAAACCCAAATGTTGGGTTAAAAATGTAATTTCACTTTCAACTCTACATTTTTTATTGCATTTTAACTCAACATTTGGGTTTGTCCATATTTGACCCAAATTTGGGTTGAAACAACCCAGCATTAGTTAGAGTGCACCGGGTTTATTGACGGGTAGGTTTACACACAAAAAAAATGCTGGGTTGTTTTAACCCAATTTTGGGTCAAATATGGACAAACCCAGCCATTGGGTTAAAAATGTAATTTAAAAATGTAACCCAATGTCTGGGTTTGTCAATATTTTACTCAAAATTGAGTGAAAACAACCCAGCATTTTTTAGTGTGTAAACCTACCTGTCACAAACCCAAAATGCTGGGTTGTTTCAACCCAAATTTGGGTCAAATATGGACAAACCCAAATGTTGGGTTAAAAATGTAATTTCACTTTCAACTCTACATTTTTTTATGCATTTTTAACTCAACATTTGGGTTTGTCCATATTTGACCCAAATTTGGGTTGAAACAACCCAGCATTTGTTAGAGTACGCCGGGTTTGTGACGGGTAGGTTTACACACTAAAAAAATGCTGGGTTGTTTTAACCCAATTTTGGGTAAAATATGGACAAACCCAGCCTTTGGGTTAAAAATGTAATTTAAAAATGTAACCCAATGTCTGGGTTTGTCAATATTTTACTCAAAGTTGAGTGAAAACAACCCAGCATTTTTTTAGTGCGTAAACCTACCTGTCACAAACCCAAAATGCTGGGTTGTTTCAACCCAAATTTGGGTCAAATATGGACAAACCCAAATGTTGGGTTAAAAATGTAATTTCACTTTCAACTCTACATTTTTTATTGCATTTTAACTCAACATTTGGGTTTGTCCATATTTGACCCAAATTTGGGTTAAAACAACCCAGCATTTGTTAGAGTGCGCCGGATTCGTGACGGGTAGGTTTACACACTAAAAAAATGCTGGGTTGTTTTAACCCAATTTTGGGCAAAATATGGACAAACACAGCTATTGGGTTAAAAATGTACTTTAAAAATGTAACCCAATGTCTGGGTTTGTAAATATTTTACTCAAAATTGAGTTAAAACAACCCAGCATTTGTTTAGAGTATACACTCTAAAAAATGCTGGGTTGTTTTAACCCAATTTTGGGTCAAATATGGACAAACCCGAAATGTTGGGTTAAAAATGTAATGTAAAAATTTAACCCAACAGCTGGGTTAGTCCATATTTGACCCAAAGTTGGGTTAAAACAACCCAGCATTTGTTTAGAGTGTAGCGTGGGATTTGTGAATTTCTCATCAAACGCTTATTTTTATTTAACGAGTTCCATGAACATCAGATCAATGCATTCTTTTCACACAATTCTTTGTTAGTATTTCATTTGCTTCACTCATGCAGATTGACTTATCTGATCACACCTCAGTGTCACCATCTAAATGGTCTAGACGCATCACTTACTTATCTCTCATGTGTAACAAACCATTATGAGACGGGATAATTATCGGGACAACTATCACTACAGTCCACATGTGTCTGTCTCCCCATGGAGACAATCTCAGCCGGCTGGTGTTGGTTAGATAAGAGTTTGTTCACCGTGGAATACGCCTCTCTCCTCTTTGTATGTCCTGCATGTTTGGCCAAAGGGCAAAGGCCCAATCCAGCTGGTCAAATATGGACAAACCCAAATGTTGGGTTTAAAATTGCAGTTGAAAGTGAAAGTTGGGTTAAAATTTTAAATTACATTTTTAACCCAACATTTGGGTTTGTCCATATTTGACCCAAATTTGGGTTCAAACAACGCAGCATTTTTTGCCGTGGACTGCATCATCTCTGGCTTCCTACTTCATTTTTTTGTTCGTAGACCAGATGTCCGTGTTGTCCGAGGATTTGTTGGCCGGAGTTGTCCTTGGAAATGTCCCTGCCAAAACATACTAGAATTGACCTTGTTTTTGATTTTTTTTAGTTCATACACTCTAAAAATGCTGGGTTGTTTAACCCCAACTTTGGGTCAAATATGGACAAACCCAAACGTTGGGTTAAAAATGTATTTAAAAAATTTAACCCAATGGTTGGGTTTAAGTTGGGTTAAAACAACCCAATAATTTTTAGAGTGTACATTTTATTTTATTTGTAATTTGTTTCCATAAGAATTAGGCTACACTGTACGAATTAAACTGCCATCTCGTACAATTGTTAGTTTTCTAGTCTTCTCATGATCGGATTGGCTACTACACCATAATAATCAGGGTGTCAACCATGTATCATAATAATCATAATAATCAACCAATCATAATAATCAACCATGTGTTTACTATACAATATACTTACAATTGCTTAGATATTTTATCAATTCGTTCTCACCGCTCATAATCTGAAAGTATTCGCTCCTTCATTAAAAATAACATTTATATTTCAACAACAGCATGCTTTCTGACCTGACCTGACATACACCGCTTATCACCGCACCAAATAAACTCATTTTAAATCCTTACGTAACCAGCGTTTCCCAAATACAATTAATTTTAGCGTTAACTCTTTCCGTCCAGTTCTAGCCTACACATCCCCTGTGCGGTCTCAGAAATGCTAACCTTAGCTTTTTAGCAATTTTAGCTAAAATGAACTGAAAACAACAGCATTAATTGTTGTGTACTTGCAAACATGTCGACTCAAGACCACTTAAAAGCAATTCTCTCAAATCTGAGCCTTTATTGAACATGTTAGCATGTTTACTGAAGAGCTCATGGAGAGATATACGCGAGTCTGACGTCAATATCAACTGGAACGTCAAACTCCACTATATAATCCAGCAGCGATATATATCTTCAGCATAAACTCTGACTCATGCCAGGCCAGTTCTGACAGTCCATTTCAACGAAAAGTCCAAACTTGTGTGGACGAGTAAGAGCCAAAATAAAATGGCGCCATTTACTGGGGGATGTTTACCCTTCACACTTCCTGGCCTCACACACTCACAGAGGCTCTGTGTATAGACAAGTGTTCAAATACTTCCCTTGATCAGCAGATAGAGAGAAAGAGAAAACACACTCTCACACACACACAGATAAGCCATTGTGCTCTCGTCCGGAGCTCTGGGCTGAAGGCTAAGCGGTTGAACATTAACTTTGAACCGCTGGACGGTTAGCATGACTCAAACACAGCCAGTGCTTACATCATGTGTGTAACAGTGGAAAAACAATACAAGATTAAATATTCCATAACAAGAGAAATCAGTTTTGTGAATGAGTCTGATGTTTGTGTGATTTTGTAAGTGTGTGACCTTAATTGGAACCGGATACAGGAAAGCAAACAGCTGATGTAATATTGTAAAGTGATTGCTTCATAATGACTCTGGCTGGCCGTACTGCATACACACACTGCTTTCTGGAGATAAAAGTGACATTGACATAGTGTGCTTCCATGTACGCTCTGTTATTACTTTGCTCTTTAGCAATATCACTCCTCAAGGGGGTTTGATAATAAGATTGACCAATCAGTTGTTTATTCTAAGTTTGTACTTTTCAGGGCTTCACGTGTGCGAAAAGCAATATATCAGTAAGAAATGAAGAGTTCAGATGCAAAAGCCTCTAAATGCCATTTGAAATTTTCTTCTTTAATGATGATTTTTATCAAACTTGTATATTTAAGTTCAGTAATTTAACTTAAATAATTATCATTGCCATTTAAGTGAAATTACTGAACTTAAATATACAAGTTTGATAAAAATCATCATTAAAGAAGAAAATTTCAAATGGCATTTAGAGGCTTTTGCATCTGAACTCTTCAAATACGAATGGAAATGCAATGATATCAGAGTGTAATAGTACTTTGATTTCCCTTGTAAAAAAAAAGTACACTTTAGCATAATTTTAATGGAAATAATACACTCTAAAAAACCCACCAATGTGGACAAACCCAAATGTTGGGTTAAATTTATAAATTGCATCTTTTAATCCAAACCCAATTGGGTTTGTCCATATTTGACCCAAAATTGGGTTAAAACAACCCAGCATTTTTAGAGTGTGCATAAATTAAACGAAACATATCTGGGAAATTGTAAAAATGTGAGATATTGGCAATTGGGAAAACAATATAAATGTCCCAGAGTCGCTGTCGGCTAGAGGAGAAGAGGGCGATCGCTACACACCGGATCACATATCCTAAAGCAGGACTGGAGGTCATGGACAACAGAAAGCCCTGAAACTAGAGATGCAGGAGGAATCAAGGGGACTCGACTAAAGTCACAGAGTGAGAGGACGGAAGGACGGAGGGGGAGACCATGAAGAAGAAGCCGTGGGCCTCACCACCGCCTGCAGACCCTTATAACGCCTTCATGTTTTCTGCTGGGTTATTTATTGCTCTGTAATTTCGGTGCCGGGGGAGTGTAATTGATTTGGCTTGGATTTCAAGCTTGGGAGGAGTGGGATGGGCCCCTGCTATCGGGACGGGGAATCTGGGCCCCTTCACCGCCTCACTTCCCTTCATAGTCTGGCATAATCTCCAAACCAGCACCCTTTATCAGCATTCCCACAACAAGACGTGTGACGGCAGCTTATCCACGCCAGTCCTCGAACCCGGCCCAAACCGCCACGGGTTTTTAATGACCTGGAGCGGCTCAGCCGAGGGCGAGGGGTGGATAAATGTTTGTCGGTATCGAATGGCTAAACCAACACGATATGATCTTCCACGCGAACACTTCAGCTGAGGAGCGTCACGCATGCCGAGGACTGTGGAAAAGCCAGTCTCCAATGAAGTGGATCACAGTGTAAAACTAAGTTTCCAGACATTGAATGTTGAGGCATGACACACTGTAAAACTTTAAGTTCAGACCAAAAATGAGGGAAATGTCTGTGCTTTAATGATGTGGAAATAGCATTTCAACTCATTAGCATGTTTGCTTGAGAAATATTAAAGTCA